GTCATACAGACATACGCACACAGATTTTGTACTTTATTTATATGATGCAAAAGAGCAGCTTACATCAATGTTAAGGAGATAAGCATGCTGTAAAAGAAACTAAGCATTAAAGTCAGCCATATCTGTAATGCTAGCGCGCGAGCCCACATCCCCACAAAGTCGTCTGTCGGAAAGATGAAAAGGCGATTGCAGTAAAAGGAGCTTTCAAGTAGAAGAAAAGAAAGTCTCATTGCAAGAACGGCAATTTCAACGAAGGCGAGGAGGGGAAGCAAATCGCAATGCGTGGACATGAACAGAATCAGTTTGAGAAAAATGTCAGGTGAATGAGCAAATCCGACAAGAGATGAACGTTTGGCTTGAAAACCGAAAATACGCAAAGATGAAAAGGAAATTACATACTGTGATCATCGTGGATAAATAACAAATGGTGCTGTGAGCTTGACAAAACATTAGAATTTGATCTACATTATCTCCAATGCATCAAAGGAAATCAAAACACACATTACTGGATGGTCTCACTTTCATTATTGCTAGCTTGCGACACGGTGTGTCATAATGAACAAACAGGTCAGAATTGTTCGAAATTCCATTCAGCTGAAATTATCACCATTGTGCGACGCAATTCACTTCCAAGAAGTAGTAGTAAGTCTGTGCTCCAGTCATCTTTCTAACCTTTATATCTCCTTTTTAATACAATAAATGGGCGGAATCAATATTGTAAAACACCTATTGTGTAGCCTTTCCTCTCGATGCCTCGTAGGCAAATGACCATAGCGGCGTTACGTAGCCACTTCAAGGCTCAGAAGGCCGCCCGTCATGCCTACCATTTGGACGTCAATACATCTAAAGACGTGCTTTGGCCGAAGGCCAAGCTAACTCTTTCTACAGGAGGGCGTGCGTTAGACACCGGATGCTCTCTCGAGCGAGAGGGTGCCAGACAGTCGGAACCGCTGTGATCGATAAATCCCAGAGTCAGTGATTTGAAGTCTCGTAGTCAGAAAACTCAATTGCACTGCAAATTAAGGTCCAAAAATGGCATAAAGACTAAAAATGGATGTTTTGATGTTCTTAGATCTCCTATAAGAAAATTCTTAGTATCCAGAAAATTAAGAGAAGCAACATCTTTTTAAGTTTTTTCTAGTGTTTAAATCATGATAGGGAAGTGATACCTGCCAGAGGAGAGTAGGGCGCAACGGTATCCTGAAGTGTATCTCGAGGACAAGCCTGTGCTAGGTCGTCAAACATCGTTTTCTAATACACGATATAATACGATGTACCGTAATGATAATAATGATAATACTTGAGAAGTTCCAGTTCTATACCACCATTCATTGTATTGTTTTTTGAAAAATTTATTATCAATAACATTGTCAAGACAACTTGCTGGTAATTACGAAAACGGATATTCCTGCTTCGGATCAAAGTCAAAACTGGATGAGTCTGCTGTAGTGAAATAAAGACTTGCTGTGTATTTACTTCCCATCTTTTGGACTATTCCTATTCTGTTTTAGTTCTTAAACCTACTTGAAAGAACTGGTTTTCTTGAATTTTTGGAAGTTAATGTGAAAAATACTATGAACTCTCTTGTAAGAAGTTTTATACATTACTGTAATCTTCCAAGTTTGTTTGCTGCAGTGCAACTAGGTTTTTCTAATTGCGAGACGTTGAATTATTGTTCCTCGACGGCGCTGAGATAGCGGCCGCAATATGACGTAGCCGTCCTATGAGCAGGAAGCGGGCGGGCTTGAGATGCGCTCGGCGTGGCTCGATGCTGGACATGGTCAATCACAGCGGACCCAACTGTATGGCACCCTCCGCCCGAGAGAGCATCAGGTATCTAACGATACGCACCTCTTTCTACACTATAAAGACCCTGACAACCTTTATGAGCTGTTTACATACAATTTGACTATCATTTTATGGTCGTTATAGGATGTCCGTATAGTTCCTCCTAGGGAGCGTTTTTAATGAAGTATGCTTATTATCACTATGAGCCTTGTAGTCAGTGGTCAACTATATTAAATACCATGATTTGTGCTGGCTGCTCTGCCGAAGTTCCGCTAGGAATGTGACGTGTAATTCTCGTTGCCAACATGATTGATCCGTTCTTACTGAGCTGATAGGAATGTTTCGGTAAACAGGAAGAGTCAGCAGAGACAATGAGGAAAAGCTCGAATTGCTAATTTCTAGCCGAATTCAGTTGAACTGAAATATTTCAAATTGCTTTGCATTTGAGAGTCGTAGAAGCTTATAATGGTTTCTATTTATGCTTTTGCCAACAGTTAACCTTACCGCATTTCTCGCGAAAGGTTATATGTTTAAAAAATTTGGAAAAGGAAAAGAAATCATTCTAGACCAGTTT